TATCAGTGGGACTGTTCAGCGACTGATTGTCATAGGTTAATCAGTAACTGATTGATGTGGGTTCAGTATCGTGAACTGGAAGTTTGAATGCTCACCAAACCGATCGACATAGCCAATCCATTAACGAAGTTCCAAAAAGCATGAAACTTTGACAGGACGAATGTATAGCCTGTGCATAATTCATTTCGTTTGTTTTGATTAATAGCGATGCACACCGGGGGATGATGTGAGCATTCTTTTTATGTGCAGTTTTGTCCAGTTGCAAAGCAGGTTTAAACGAGCCTGTAACTTGAAATTGTCCTAACCGCTGTTCAGGAACTTCAACTCCTTTTCGCGTTTTTCAACTCCAAAAAAGTCAAGGAAGCTGAAAATTTTGCAGTTTGGGTCTTTATTTCATAACAGACCACAAATTTAACATCTCTGCATCTTGACTGGTCATGGCTAGTTTGCGTATGCAAACTTCCGACCATTCTCTTCAACTACACAAATCTACAGGCACAAATTAAATGATTCTTCAAGATGATTCTTGACTGATCATTAAGTGATTCTTGACTGGTTATGGCTAGTATGCGTATGCAAACTTCCGACCATTCCCTTCAACTACACAAATCTACAGTCACAAATTAAATGATTCTTCAAGATGATTCTTGACTGGTCATTAAATGATTCTTGACTGGTCATGGCTAGTATGCGTATGCAAACTTCCGACCATTCCCTTCAACTACACAAATCTACAGGCACAAATTAAATGATTCTTCAAGATGGTGCAACCTTAAAGATTTGGACAATTCTCGCTCATTCGATTTCTTTTTCATTAGGGTTATAGCCCAAGATTTCAAGTAAGAAAACTATTACCGTATTCTGAGCCACTGTGGGGGAAGGAAAAATTTTTCGGTTTTCAGCTTTTTAGTTTGCTTTTTGTTCAGTTAGGGAAGTCTTACAAAAACACGGACATACATGCACATAAATACAAACATGTGTTCTTGTATTTAAATAAATGCATAAAACACCCAGAAATGGGTGTAAGCACAAGGTGGAACAAATCAGA